CCTTCTTTCTCCTTCCTGCTCACTGTGACATGAGTGGCTTTTCTCTCCTCTGTCCCTTCCACCATGCCATTTCTGCATGGGTTCTAGACCACCAGAGACCACAACCATGAGCCAAAGTGAAGCTCTCCTTTTAGTTGTATATGCCCGGTATTTTGTCCCAGGGATGCAAAAGTAACTGCAACAACCTATGTAAAGAGGTTGGGCTAGAATGTTGATTGATGATCATGATTTTTTTATATACATTTAGTACAGGCAATACATAATCTACAGGGTCTCACTATGGAGATCGGACTCATAGTGATCCTCCTGTTTTCAGCCTCCCAAGTGCTGGGATTACAGGCGGGCATCACCACACCCAGTCTCAATCGCCATCTCAGCGTGCCTCCGGGGCGGGGCCAGCACAGTACACTGCGGATCAAACCTCAGCTGCTGCACTCTCCTGAAGCAGACGCTTTAGTCCACTGAACTATCAGGCTGGCCCTGGAATGTTGATTGAAAGAATAGGCTGTAGAGTCAAACTACCTTGGTTTAAAATTTGACTCTTTTACTTTACTTGCTGAGACCTTGGGCAAGTTCCAAATTGTTCTGAGCCCTGGTTACCTCATTGTTAAAATGTGGATAATAATTATTCCAACCTTGCAGGATACTGCTAAATATTAAAATACATAATACATATAAAGCATATAGCTCAGTGTTAACATTATAGAAAGAAAAATCAACCCTTACCATCTTGCAGGCAGTTAAGGCAATGTTCTAAAATTGAAGATTGTCAGACTGAAGATGCAATAGGTAATAACCATTTTTTCACACCCTAATTCCTCCTGCATTTCTCTTCCTCATACCATTCTAGGTATTTCCTTGGGTTCTTCCTATTAAGTAGTTTTTTTTCCAATGAGTAAGGAAGGTTCTGGTCAATTCCAATTTTCTTACAGAGTAACCTGTTTTATTCTGCATCATCACATGCTCAACATTTCTTCACCTGAGTTCATCAGTGTTTAATGTTTCACAGGCTTTAAGAGATCGAGGAAGGAGTGGTACAAAGAGTGAAAATGGGTTGATTAAGTAGCTAAAGGGATAGAGAAAAAATAAGAAAGGCTTATCAGAGAATGTTGGCGGGTAAATCAGAGGATGACTCAGGGATTCTTATCTCTAGAGAGACCTTTGGTCCCTGAGATGATTAGAAAACTAGAGATGATTGGTTTGCTGGACAAGAAAGTAAAAAATATCTCTCTTCATATTTCCCTCCAAAGGAGAGCGGTGGATATCAGCATATTAAAGATTCTGAGACGTACTGCAGTAAATCCTGTTTTTCTTTGTTTCCCTCATATCACCAGTCAACACGTCTTACTGACCAATAACAATTTGGGAAACTTTCCCTACTAACTCAGGACTGTGGAAAATAGATATCCAAAAAGAACAAATTGTAGGGTATTAATGAACCATGATAAAACTGATTGAAGAAAGTGAGACTAATATCTAGTGAGTGTCAGTTATGTGTGGGACAGAATTTGTGCTACTTTTAAAATGCTTGCTCATTGTGTTAAAATAATAGGTTTTTTTTTTTTAAATGGGAAGGATATCTACAATACCTTACCAAAGAATTTCATGGCATATGTTACTTTTCCTTAAGCATGAATGTAAAACTTTGAAAACTAAGGACCTTGATGTAGCCTGTATCAATGCCTGGGTATTTCTTTTGCACTCCACTGAGAAATTTGGAGTTATGAATCTCCATCCTTTTGTCCCTGAAAGGTAGCATGATGTACAAACCTGTGAACTGGTCCTGGGTTGCCGCGCACTAGGTATATAACCTTGGGTAATATGCTCTTCTCTGGTGATTAAAAAAGGAAAGAGAAGGAGAGAAAGATAAATCCAATTCCTCAATCTGCTTGCCTTAATCTTTATAGCCATCAATTAAAATATTTCCTCTTTCCCAAGTGCTAGAGCAGGCTCTATGGCACCACAAAAAAGCACGGACAACTTCTACCTTCAACACCTGCTAATTGTGATTTTAAACACTTCCATATTATGGATGTCTGTGTGTTTATATTAGCATATTTAATAATATAAGTATATATGAGTATTTAATACTTAGATACATTTTTTTTAAAAAAATTTGAGACTGGGCATGGTGGCGTGTACCTATAATCCCAGCTCGTGGGAGGCTGTAAACAGGCTGATCACTACAAGTTGATCTAGTAGTGAGACCCTGAACACCCTGTAGGACCTTCCCTAAAATACAAAAATAGAATAAAATTTTTTTTGAAACACTGGTAAGTTTAACTTTTTTTTTATAACATAGCAGTTGATGTGCTGCTAAAGGAAAGAACTACATCATATACCCCACATCTCTCTATTCAAGCATTGTGTCATTTACGTGCTACTTAGTATGTCTTACGAAATAAATGGAAACAGTAATGGTAAATTTCTGTACAATTATACTCATTTTGTGCAACCTAATATAACAAAGATAAGGGGCTGGTGAGATGGCTCAGTGGTCTAAAGCACCTACTTAGAACAAGCTTAGCAAAGCTACAGGGACTGTGGTTCAATCCCCCAGCACCACATGCCAGCCAGCCCCGCCCCCAGGTGGGCTGAGCTGGCCACACACACACACACACACACACACATAAATAAAAAATTTTTTTTAAAAAAATTAACAAAGATAACTTAATAATAGGACATTGCACACTGGGGGAACGATTCAGGATGGAGTCAGACAGAGTTTTTGAAGACCAGTATTAATTTGTGCTTTCACAAATAACCTATACTGACCGCTCAATCTTAATTGAAATGCATACCCAAAACTTCACTAACAAGTCTGTGATGTTAGAGATAATCATTATTTTGTGAAACTAAATTTGGCTTCCTTCCTTTTACAAGAAACTTAAATTTTTCCTTAAAACATTAAATTGAATGTTAATGTATGGCATTCTCTGATCTTCTTTGTTCTCTTCACATTGTTTTTCACTCTAACATATTATTATATAAAAAGCTATCTCTTTTCTTTTTCTGAAATGTTTATATGTCATTAAGAGTGAAGCACTGAGAGGAAAAATGAGGGTCAGGAAGCAGGAAATACTATGCATTAACAGGTACTAATTTTGTGATTAATAACAGGTATTATTTTCAGTTTTATATGTGGGCAGACACAAAAAGGATAGGTACAGGTATATGATTTCTCCTTTCTTGTACCACACTGACAGGCAAGCTGAAGGGTGGGAAAGATACTTTTTCATACATATGTGTATAAAAATAGGACACAATGAGTTAGAGATTTTAAAATGCTTTTGACTCTATCAGATGTGTTTTTAGGTAAAGGGAAGAGACACAGAAGCAGTGTGTGCTTAGAGTAAGCAGGAGATCCATCAGTCACTCAGCTGCACTGTGTCATTTTCTGCTCTCACTTCCTTTTGCTTTATACCATTTTTTTCTATATCTTTTACTATGTAAGTATCAGTTGGTAGTCAGACCTTTACTGTAGGAGCCCACCAAGCTACACTCTTCTGAGAAAAGGAGCCCCTTGCCTTGATCTTTCCTTGACCTCTTCTTCAACCCTATTCACTGAGATGTGCAGAGCTGGCTGTATTGAAACAGACATGTCCTTAACTGGCTAAGAGAATGTGATTGAGTCCAGCAGAGAAGACAACGCGTCTCATTGCAGCACATGGCTGAGAACTGCTCCCCTTCCCCAACTGACAGCGAACTGGGGGCTCGCTGGAGCAGGAGCCTGTGAGACCCCAGGGCTAAGGCATGAGATAACATCTCAGCTGGGCCATGGGACTCTAGGAATTATACCTTCCTGGCAGTAAAGGTGTCAGTCTTGCATGCATCAAACTGTCCGTTACATTGCTAATTGGAGAACCTTTGTACCTGGTACAAAATTGCTGTTTCTCATTACAGCCAAGTCTTGCAAAGTTTCTTTTCCATACATACTCTATCATGAACCCCACCCACCTCCCTGAATGATACCAATAGAGGCCATGAGCTTTTAAGCTTGTGGTTCCATAGGGAATATTGACCATCCCAGAGCTCCCAACTGTAGAACTTTCTCTTTGTCTTTCATTTACATCCACATGTCAGCCGGAGAGTTAGTTCAGTGGAATAAGTGTTTGCCTGGTAAGCGCAAGGGCCTGAGTTCAATCCCTGGTTCTGCCAAAAAAAAATAAAATAAATAAATAAATAAATAAATCCATCCATGTGTCATGTTGCTAGGTGGTAGACCTGAACCCTCCATGGGGGTTTCCGTACTTTAGCATGGTATTTACTGCTACAGAATTTTTGTGATTTATATATGACAGATTTCCTATACACTCAGCACGTGTAAATGTTCTCTCATTTTCATGAGTGCAAAGGGGAAATAAATGTCTTTGTTTGAGCTGCTGTAACAGAGTAAGAGACAGGCTGACTACACATAACATAAATATGTCTCTTATAGTTCTGAAAGTTGGGAGTCCAAGATCAGGGTGCCTAGGTGGTTGGGTTGTGGTAAGGATTCTCTTCTGCATTGGGTGTTGCTGATTTCTGTGTGTTCACAGAGAGGGAGGAGAGCTGGAACACACCCTTGGGTGTCTTTTACGCGGCCACTCATCTTATTCAGAAAGGCTTTCCCCTCATAACCTCATCAATTCCCAAAGGCCCACCTCCGCCTACCATCCCATCAGGGCTTAGATTTCAAGATATGAATTTCAAGGGGCACAAACATTCTGTGTGACACAGGGATGTGGGTAAGGAATAAAGACTGTGCTCTCTTCTAGGAATGGAACTGCGCTGCGGAAAAGCTGAAGGAACAGGCCCTGGAGATTTTGCTGACGGACTATGTGGAGAGAGAACAGCTACTGCTCTCGAACCAGAAACTGAATCGGCTTCAAGATGAGCTGAGTCGACTCATAGTGGAAAGAAAGATCTGGTTACATAAGGCAAATGATTTTTTCAGCAGTACTAACAAGGTCAGTGTAAAGACCAGATTACCATTTATAAAGTTGTTCTTGACCACCAACCAGTAAGAGAATCATTATTTCTACAGGCTGGCGCACCCACAGAAGTCAGGGCTCCATGAGGAATTTCAAAGTGAGCAGCAGCAAAATGAAGTTTTAAAATATCTTCCTCTTGTGGCCATTACGTGGTTCTCAAAACTAAGAGACTATGCATGGACATGCAAAGGTTTCCTTAGAACAATAACCTCCTGAGAGTTTTATTTAAAGCTTACATCGGTCTGCTTGTGGGGAACTTGTGCTCCCGTTGTGGTTTATGTCACAGAGGTAGGGAATTATGAAACATAGTGAGATTTTAAAAAATACCTTAAGCATTTTCCGCAAAAGCCTTTGTTCTCTTTCCTTTCTCAGGTAGTGAGTGTTACAAACCTTCTGTGTACAAGCTGTAAGGCTGGAAGTGGTGGCTGGGTCATGGCTGTTCCTTGCTTGCCTTTTTTTTATTATTATTATTACTATTTTATTGCGGAACTGGGGATTGAACTCGGGCCCTTGCGCTTGCCAGGGAAGCACTGATTCTACTGAGTCATCTCCCTGGCCCCTGCTTGCCCTTTTAGATCAGATCAGTGGAGTTCTTGTGGCTCCTCTCTGGGGCTTGAGTTTGAAAATGGCTCGGCTCCTCTTCATGGAGTCATTTACCTTTTTAAATAGTGGGGATACTGGAGATTGAAACCAGGGCTTCAGCCCCGAGCTCTCACTCCAGCCTGTTTTCCATTCTTTTAAGATTTTGAAGCAGGTATCTTTCTACTTTACCAATATCATATACTGATATAAGATACAGTCTCACTAGGTAGCTCATGCTGGCCTCAAACTCACAGAGGTCTACCTATCTGCACCTCCTGAGTGCTGGGGTTACAGGGGTGCAGCCCCACCTCCTGCGCCAATGTACTGTTTATTTACTTTCTAATTGCTGTGTTGGAATGTCTTCATGAGTTAAATTTTACCAATTCAAAAATAGACATTGTGGTAGACAATAAACAGGGAACCCATTAGAAACTAGGTTTGCTGTGATTGAAGGTTACCTCGGCACTGAGTACCATGTCCTATGAAGAGTGACTTAGTTTTAAACTTCTTTGTGATTACTTTTGATTGGGTGAATAGTAAAATTCAAAACTAGGGAGCTAGAGTTATAGTTCAAATGTTAAAGAGATATTTGTTGTCCAATTATTGTTTGTGTGTTCCTTTTTTTAAGAGAGGAAACGGCATATTACTGGAGATACTGAGCAAATAGATGTTAAGTGTTTTGTATTGGCAGTTGTATCCTTGAATTAGGGTGTTTAAATCTATATCACACATTCATCTTACAGAATGAACGGGTCATCTGCGAGTTAATTATTATTATTTACAAGGAAAACAGTTATAGAACATGCTGCACACAGCGCAAATACTTCCAGGATAGAAGGGTAGAGCTTCTCTTTCTTTCTCCTTCCCTCTTTCCTTCATTCTCATGCTCTTGCATTCTCTGAACGTTACTTGGTGGTTTTTCAGGGAGATTTTTTTTCTTTGATCATTATTTCTGGACTCTGAGGGAGAAGGAGTATTTTATATAAAAGTTAAAGAGGAGAAGGAGGGAAAGGAGGAGGAAGAGGAGGAGGAGGAGGAGGAGGAGGAGGAGGAGAAGAGTGGTTACTTTCTCAAACTTATACAATAATACAAGTCAGATCTGGTAAAAATTTATATTTCTTAACTCCAAAGACTTTGGATTTCTAGAATTCCTGTTCCATTGGTTGAATGCCGTGGTGTGCTAATGTCAAATTAGTTACGGTATTAGCTGTACTACAGTATTTTCTATAGGTAAGCAGTACTCACACAGCATTAGAATCACCCCTCTTGGATTTGACTGACCTTGACAGATACAAAAGTTACATTTTTAATTATATAGGTCTTGCTTTAACTTGGTCTTAACCATCCAGCAGAAAAGCATAACCACGAGGTATAAAAAGTAAAGCCATATTAATATGCTGAGCTGCAAAAGGCTCAAGTCAGCAACTTCTGACAATTTCCAGTTCTGCTGATGACCCACTACTATTATAGACTATTGGACTATATTGGGTTATTTTGCTGAGCTCCAGTACCTACAATCTTTGGACTGGCATCAAGTATGAAAAGGTCCTTTAAAGACTTCTCCCAGTACAGCTTCTCTAATAGCAGTGGAACCCCCATGTCGGACAAAAGAAAACAAAAAAGGGTTATGTAAGTGGAGGACCATTTTGTAGCTTAAAAAATATATATACATGTATATATACACACACACAATAGATTAGATACACAGCTAATTTCTCTTAGCTCAATGAGAAGAAAGGTTTGTACTAATATTGTTTAGACAAGATATCATGTCTACATCTTGTACTCTGGATGATTACTACAAAGACAACAATATGCAATGCATTAATTATCATAACTATCCTACTAACCTGTTTTGAAACTATTTCATTGCTATTTTTTCTCATTAAAATTAGTAAAAAAATTTTTAAAAAGAATAAGAAAAAAATAAAGAGGCACCCCTTTTAATGCATCAAGGAGAGTAATTCCCAACCCAAAGCTAAGAATTCAGTGTGAAGGATACTGGATATATTTACCTTAGCAAAAGGAGAAGCCTAAGTTTGAAAAGTGGATATTAGATTTATTAGATTTTTTTTTTAAATTTTGTTTTTGAAAGTAGAAAGGGATGATAAAAATAGAAAGGGATGAATGTCGAAATTTAACTGCAGAATGAAGTATTATTTGTAAATTTTAATATCATACATATTTCTTTATCCAGATTTTTATTATGTTTATAATTATTTATTTATTTATTTTGCAGTACTGGGGATTAGGACCTTGGGCTTACCAGGCAGGCACTTATGCCCTTGAGCTACCTCCCCAGCCCAAAAAGTGGATATTTAATCATGACTTTTCAAATGAATTCTTCACTATATCTTAAGGTGCAATAAATGATGAAATTCTATAGTGGGAAAATCCATTTCAGTTAAAGAATGTACCTCCTTTCTTAAGGAATCTTTTAAAAATATTTGTATTTTATTTTATATGATGGAACCTCCAAATTTTACAAAATCTTACTGCTTTACCCATTTTTTAATATAACATTCACAAATAAGTGAAGAGCTAGGTTGTAAAAATTAATAAAACATCAACATCCCCTACAACATTTTTTTCTAGGCTAAAAGTCCAGTTTACACTAATGAAGGAGTATTTTAAATTTATGTCAGCAGTTATTTATCTCCAGAGCACTAAGTCATCCTCCTGAAATTTCATTTTGATTTTTTCCTGAGAGTTCTCAGGATTTCTGCTATGAGCAAGCCCAAGATTAGAGACCTGTGAGAGGTCTGAGATTTTACCTGACTCTCCAGCGGACGTGTTAGTTTATCACAGTGTTGTGGATGCTCACAGAAACCCGCTGACTCCTGGGTCAGAGCTGCGAGCAGCCACTGGGCATACAAAACGCCGCAGCATTTCCAGGCCCTGGATCCACAGGGGACTGCAGGTGGGCCTGGTGATGCCTGTACCTGCAGAGGGTGCCGTGCAGGTGAGGGACCTCTGCTCCGGAGTCCACTGTTTTGCATGCCTCTTTGTCTCAGGGAATGCGATGCTCAGCTTGCAGGCTGCCAGCTACAGACAAGACACTGAGAAATGGGCGGGATTAAATGGGGCCAGAGTCATGCACCTTAGCAGACCAGTGAGATGTGCTGTAGCACCAGGAACCCACAAGAGTCTTTGCAAACACACACAGATCTAGGTGCCAGCCCCATGGGGAAAAAGAGTGAGTCGGTGCTTTAAAAGAAAAAAAGAGGGGCCGGGAGATGGCTCAGTAGAATAAGGGTGTGCCTGGGCCTGAGTTCAATCTCTGGTTCCGCAAAAATAAACCAAACCAAAACAAAGCAGAGGTACATTCCTAAAAAAGCAATTCTGCTCTTCTAAAGCAAATTTCTTTTCAGCAAACAACTTCTTATTTCAAGTTTGTTGAAGCTAGATCAATATCCTCTTTCAATTTCTGTGTCAAATGACAATGTGAAAACATAGGTTAGTATCACAGGTATATAGAGCTGAGAAAATGGGGCCACTTTGACAGTCTGCTTAGTAAGAAGTAAAAGTTGGTATTTTAAATAGATTTTTTTTTTTTACTTTTTTTGAATTTTGTTTTTGAAAGCAGAAACGGATGGTAAAAATAGAAAGAGATGAATGTCAAAATTTAACTGCAGAATGAAGTATTATTTATAAGTTTTAATATCATATATATTTCTTTATCTAGATTTTTATTATGGTTATAATCATCTAGATAGCTCCTTTCTACACTTTTCCTTTTATTTTCATTCATTCCTATCTCTATCAATTCTATAAATAGATAAATGATTCCTCTTACTGAAGTCATTGAACAAATAATATAGTAAATTGGTGAAAATAAGTATTTCTCCTTTAGATATTCACCTACTTGGTACATATTTATTGAGCAAGTGTTGTATCAGGCACTGCTTTAAAAGCTGGGGATATATCAGAAAACAAAATGCACATAAAATCTATAAGCAATGTATTTTCCAACTTTTTTTTTTAATGTAGTCAGCACAGGATCTACAGTGTCTCATTACACAGCTCTGACTCCTAGTGATCCTCCTGTTCTCAGCCTCCTAAGATCTGGTATCACAGGCGTGTGCATCACACCCAGTCTCAGTTTCCCTCACAGCACGCCTTGGGGAGGGGGCGGGACCAGCACCACACACTGGGGAGTGAACCCTGGTCACTGCACCTTCCTAAGCAGGCACGCCAGTCCTCTGAGCTATCTGGCCAGCCCTCGTATTTTCCAACTTTTGAAATTCAATAAAAAGTAGTTATCATCTAACTGTCCACACGACCAACAGCGCTCTAATGCCTTAGGCCATGACTCCAGGGGGCAATTGATCGCTTTTTAATCCAGCAAGGGCTTGAGTGGGATCTTCCAAGCCTCAGGACCCTTTCTTCCTCAG